CAGTGCGACCAGGTGCGACGCCTCGAGCAGCATCACGCCCAGCTCCTCCGGCGCGATCGCTTCAAGGTGCTCATCTTCCAGGTGAGAGGACCACCCGCCCCAGCCCTGAAATTCCCTCCTGGCCCCCCCAGGCAAGGGAAGAGCTCGGTTCTCCTCGCTTGGGGAACGAGACACTCGTTACGCTTAGCCAACTTTGGGGAAAGAGCTGGCTTCCCACCAGCAGGCTTGGGGAAAGGGGCTTTTTTTGTGACTTTGCCAAGCCCGGACTCCTTCCAAAACTTCTTTCGATCTCGGCAAACTTGGGGAGACTTGGTTAACTCTTAGCAAACTCGGGGGAAGAGCCCCCTTTTAGCAGATTGAGGAGAAACTCCCACTTTTAGCATACTTCAGGAAAGAGCCTATTTTGCTAGCTAGCAAAATCATTATTGAAAACAATAATAATCATTTAAATCTTTCCCCTCCTCCTCTTGATCATTATTATTTAAAAAAGAACTAGTCTGGTGTTGCAGGGGGTGCTTGCTCAGTGGAAGGAGTGTCGGTGGGATTCGATCCAGCATGTGTGGAAATAACCGTGGCAAAGCTGGGGGAAGAGCAGCGTTTTTTGCTAACTCTTAGCAAACTTCGGGAAAAGAAGCCTCTTCTATTCTTGGCAAATTTAGGAGAAACACCCACTTTTAGCACACTGGGGGAAAGAGCCTGCTTTGCTAACTCTTGACAAACTTGGGCAAGGGGCTGTCTTCTGCTAACTCTCAGCAAACCTGAGGAAAAAGACCTTGTTTTGCTGCCTCTCAGCGAAACTGGAGAAGAGCCAGCTGTTATTTTCGGCGAACGCGAGGAAAGAGCCATCTTTTACTCACTGCTAGCAAACGCAGGGAAAGAATTGGTTTGGCGTGGCTCTTTTAAGCAAACTTGGAGCAAGGGCCCTTTATTTAGCAAACTCCTCAGCAAACTTCAGAGCCCGTTTTGCGAACTTAGTAATGCCCCTAAAAACTGCCCTTGGGAACACTCAGCCTCACGCCCTGCTTTGCTTCTCGGGCTCTTCTGACTCATTCAGGGATGAGCTAGAAATTCAGTTTAAAAAGTCAGCTCCCTGGGAGTTCATCCAGTGATAGCAGCAGTTTGCATATTTTCACCTTTTTAAGCAATGCCCTGGGAGAGGACGCAGCGTGAGCTTTAACTAAACACAGGACGTGACTTTGACATCTTGAACTAATAATTAAAAAATTCACTTCCACAATGTACCGGGGGAAGGAGGGCGAGCGAGCCACAGGTCAGACACATCACCAACTCCTCTGGCTAAACTTGTTGCCTGCATGTTAAATCTGTCAATAGCCATCTCTACTTGAGTTATTATTTTTTGGGTTGGGTTTTGGTTTTTTTTCTTAAATTTATTTAAACAAAGCCATAACTTGGTTTTAAAAGCTGGCAGGTCAGTGCATAGGCAAAAGGAAGCTCTGGGTCCTAAAGCACACAAATCCAAAGCAAACAACGCTAGTTTAAGTCCCAAAACAAATGCAAAAAAAAAAAAAATCCACTGGTGCTCCTCTGCCATCCTCCCCAGGGTGGTACTTTTGGGCAGGAGTTGCTGTTACAAGCACTTAATTGATTGTTTTCCCATCTCTCCCTGGAAAAAAATAATAATAAGGTTGCCATGGCAGGGTGGGGAAATAAACTTAACCGATCCCAAGCCGACACAGGTCAGGAAAAGATTTAGAAAAGAAACACGGTGGTTAAATTCGGTTCATTAAAAAAAAATAAATAAAAATTTAAAAAATAATCTGTCAACTGGGAATTGCTCCTGGCACTAGCCCGTTGCTAAAAGGCAGCGTGGCTGTCTGGAAAAGCAAGGCAGAGTTTCCCAGGGCGTGGGAGGATGCCCGGGAGTCTCTACGGTGAGAGCCTGGGAGGAGTTGGGATTTTTCCACTGGGGAGGGACGGTGGGCGCCCCTTCGCCTGCTGCCAGCCCGGCCAGAGCCTTACCTGCCTGCTGACCTCCTCAAAATGTCCCCGTGGGATGACTTCGGCAGCCCGCGGGGCCACCGCCTTGCTAGGATTATCAGAGGGGGAAAAAAGCAGAAGGCTGGCTGGGTTTCTGCGCTGCCGTGAGCAGGAATCCATGGAAAAACAATTGCAGGAAGGAGAAGTCGCAGCAACGAAACCATATTGACGCCAGATTCCTGTTTAAAAAAAAGGAAGCTGGATATATGAGTCTTCTCCCTAGTTGGGAGATTCGTCTTTTTCACTGAAAAAAAACCCCCAAAACCTATCGAAAACAGTAAAACCAACTACAGGCTAAAAACTCACACAGCGCGTTCCTTGTTAGGACCTGCTTTTCCAGCTTAGGAAGACAGCTTGATATGAAAATTAAGATTCACTTCTGCACTCACCTAAAAGTGAGTGGGAGCACTGAGTGTCGCCAGAACACACGACTGAGCTCCAGCTCTGCATTTTATGAAACCGGGCTGACACTCACCCAGCATCGGCTTTCCCTCAGCGTACGCGCTGAGAATGAACTGCTTTTAGAAACGTTTTGGCTGTTCACACATTTTCCATTAAAATGCTCTTAGTTTTCTCTCCCTGGACTGCCTGCCTTGCTCCTAGTTTGTGTGTATTTCTTTAATTGGCGACCTTTTTTTTTAATGGAGCTTCATTCCAAGCATTTGAGGATGCAGACGTTATTACAAATGCCACAAGTGACACAGCAATTTAGCAAAACACTGAAGTGACTGTTTTAAAAATCCTTGTTAAGCTTTGGCTTTGTTCCCCTCTATTTTGTTCTTGCCACATGACCAGCTTTTTGGTTCTGGTTTGGTGGGGGTTTTGTTTGCTTTTTTAGCTGCAGAAGCAAAAAGCAAGATAAAAAAGGCTCATGTTTAATTTTTTTTCAATTAAATGCCATGTCTACTAGTGAATAGGAGAGATAAAGGAAGCCAGAATTACAGCTCGGGGTCAAGTACACTGATATTCGAGTCCCTTTTTAGATGCTGCTCTTGGTAAATGCTTCATCCTGGAATGAAGTAAGAGGAGGGCACAGGAAATCAGCCAGTTGGTTGTGTCTCGGTGTTTGGGTCGCTGCAATAATCTTTAGCAAAAAGGCAAGCTCAAAAATGAACACATGAGGGAAACAGAAGAATTACAAGCTGGTAATTCCATTGTCTAACTGGAGCTCAGGGGGACAGCTGGTAATTTCCCCCCCACTACTCCCTCCCCATGACAACATCCAGGTCTGAAGAACACGCACTTGTCCAAAGGAGAGTAGGTGGAGCTTTAGCTGTTTTTAGCAGGATTTGTCAACTTTTTGACTTATTTTGGGTAGCAAACCAAGTTTTAGACTAGTAATCATTGAGGCAGCATCTGCAAAGGGCAGAGCAGCTTGGACCCCTGCGAGCGTGGGGAAATGCCATCTCCTTGAAGAGACAAACTCGACCAAAATCCAACAAAATCACGCTGATTTCCCGTATTGGGCATCAGAGATTCAGCACTCCTGAGTAAATTAACTACCTGTTCACTCTGGCCGGCTGGTTTTGTGGTGCAACTTGAGGGATCTTTCCTTCCTTTCTGATTAAAAGCCAGAATCATGACCTATGGAAAGCTCTGGAGAATGGCTGAGCCAAGCTGCAGGGCAAGGCAATGGTTTTAACTTTAAAAAGTATTAGCAAGAGCTGTTTTACGCACTGTTCTATTCGTCTCCTCTGTGGAAGAATAAAATTCGGAGGAGCCCACACTCAGGCTCATCTAAGAAAATGCAAGTGCTGTTTTTGAACTCAGGTGTGGAAAATAAAAAATGTATTGCTTGCTCAGAATTTTAGAAGAGATCAGGAAGAAAAGATCAAAGTTCTACTCTTTTTTTTTTTTGGCACAGAAAATAGTTACGCAGTTTGTAACAGTTGGCATTTTTCAGTGCATTGTTCTAGTCTTCCCAGAGGAAACACCAGGCTGCTTGAAAACCGTATCAAAACCCAAAAAGTAGCTGTCGTAATAAACATGTTAGACCAAAAAATTACCAATAGCCCACTTACAACGTGTTACCAGTAACTGCATTTGAAAAAGAAAGGTCTGCTCCAACACAGAGTACTCCTCCCATGCCACCTTTTGAATTTCCAGAGCATTTTACTTGGTTTAATTTCATTTGCATTTTAATAGTTCCTGTGATCCTGAGGTCTTTTAGAAGCGTGAGATAGGGAAGCATGTCATTCCCATTTAACAAGCAGAGTAATAGATGCCCAGAGGTTGATGTTTTCCAGGGTTATGCAGGAAGCTTAGACAGAGAAGTGATTTCTTGAATGCCAGTGACCACCTAGAATCTGCTTTTCATTGAATCATTAGCTCATTGTTACGCAGCATATTTTTGTTTGGGTTCTGGTTTTCATGGTTTTTTTTTTAATTTTATTTTTAAATACTGTCTCTCTTCTACTCAGCCACAAATCCAATGAAAATTGAAACAAAATCTATGTTCATATTCTAGAGTCCAGTTTAATGTGAACACTGTAGACACAGAACTAAAACTGACCTTGAGAAGAGCTGCATGGGCCAATCTCTGGCTCATACTGCGCTGTGATCTATCCCACGTGGCACCACATTTCTAGATGAAATACTTGAAAAGTTCCAGCCCATCTTTACTCATTAAAAATAGAGTTTTCTGTGCCATTTGGGCACTTCCACCGGAAAGTTCAGATGTTTATATGTGATTACCTAGCCTTGGAAAGAATGCGCAAGACACGGAAATTATGCTTTACACCGAGTTCTCGTGCTTTGGGGAATGATTTAACGCTGCACCCACTCCTGTAATCCACATTTCATCAACTGCAGTCGAGAAAAAAAGATAAATATTTGTACTGCAGTTACAGCTCTTTTCATTTAGAGCTGGTGCAGGTTTTCTTTGTTTTGTTATCTTGGTCACTGTTGGCGATAGCTGCAACATTCGAGGTGTCAGGAGAAGAGCGCTGGCCTTCTAAGATATTCCACTGCAGAAACTGCAGGAGCAAAGCGTGTTCAGACCGTGAAATGCCATCTATTTTTTTTTGTTTGTTTGTTTTTTTTAAATACCTTTCATTTTTATATCCTTGAGGGATATTCATCACAGCACACCTGAATCACTGAATATACAAATACATACTGTGTACGCACGGTATAAAATTAACCTGCCTGTGCATATTCTCAAATTCCAGCACTACAAAGTAGTTTTTACAAACAACCATGTTCAATTTGCCTCGACAGCAAATTGAACCCAGGACACTATTCTCCCCGATGGCCACAACTCTATGCTCTGTCCTGAAATAACGAGTGTGAACTTCGAAGCACATGTGGCCTTTTGTCCTTCCCCCTTACCCGCACTCAGGCCCACGAGGGACAGATCTGAGACTATTGCAACCATTTCACTCAGCCCTTGCTGCTTTTTTGGATCTAAAGATAAATGGCAGGGGCGTGGGGGGAGAAAAATCCTTCCAATTCGTACGACTACGTGATGTTGCATGCACTCTGAGAGTGATAACAAAGGTGATGGGTAAAGGCTACGCCTCTCGTTTTTTATTTCATTTTTCAAGGAGTTGTCCTGTCTGTATTTTTAATATTTACCAATCAAATTTACCAATCATATAACACACTATAAAAATCATGGACCACACAGCTTCTCAGGATCTACAATCTTATTTTTAACAGCAATGTACATTTTTCTGAAAGGCAGTGAAAGCGCCAGTCGCATTTGCCATCTAAGATACCTCTCAGGTGCAACCAACATCTGGGCAGAGATATTCCCAGTCTTTGCTAGAGAAACTGAAAGCTTTTTGTGGGTCTACAACCTCCTCAGCCACCTTCTCCCCAGGGGTAGGTGTAAAAACTTTACCTCATAGATAACCTCATAGACTGGCCTAGGCTGGAAGGGACCTTAGAGATCATCTAGACCAACCTCCCTGTCATGGGCAGAGATGGCAAATCTGTGATTAAAAAAGTATCTCATTTAACTGGCGACGAACTGGATTTCCATTCTGTGTACATGCCAAGTCGCTCTGAAAGAGAAATCTCACAGCTGACAGCTCGTTAAGCTTTAGCAGATAATGGTTCAGTGGGCTTTTGAGTGGCTTGTTACTGCTTAAATATACCGAAACAACAAGAAAAGTTGAGCGGCCTTTGTCTCATCGTGGGGGGGGAAATAAAGTAATCGTTCTGGGTTGTGCTTTGGTTATTAAATTTGTGTCCCGCGAACTGTGAAACTCAAATATTGCCAATTCTTTCAGGAGGAAAATGAGATCCCTGCGAGCGTTTTTGCAAAAGAGCCCATCCCCAGCATTACAGAAGGAAAAGAGGAGCCTGTGGATGAAAACAAAACACTGGAAGAAACCTTGCACACGGTGGAGTTGGGTTCCGACGACGAAATGTTTCACGAGGAAGATGACGTGGATGACAGCGCAGAGGAGAAAACAGAAGAATCGAGAGCCGAGAAAATTAAAAGATCCAGCCTCAAGAAGGTGGACAGCCTCAAGAAAGCATTTTCCCGCCAGAACATCGAGAAGAAGATGAACAAGATCAGCACGAAGATCGTCTCACCCGAACGGAGGGAAAAGATCAAGAAATCGCTTACCGTGCACCATCAGAAATCCTCTTCTTCGAAGGGCTCAGCTTTCAAAGTGTCTCCCCTCACGTTCAACGTGAAGAAGAAAGGAGAAGGAGAAAGCCCTGCTGAAGCTGAGGACAAGCCGACAGAAACCGCAAGCAACGAGCAAGCCGAGAACGAGGATGACGTGTCATTCACCGACATGCACTCAGACATGACCCCCACCACCTCGCTGACCGAGGAAGGCAAGGCGGTCGCCGATTCTCTAGAGAAGGAAGCCAGAAGGGAAGGGAGCACCGCGATGAACAACAACATCGAGTTGTCCATCGTCGAAGACGACGAAGAGTACGGCGTGCCTCTGGAAGTTCCTAGCCAGAAACTGTACGACGAGAGAAACAAACCGCCTGGCGGGGAGATGGAGCAATCCGACGAAGAGACGACCCAAGCTGCTGTCCTGCAGATAGACCAAACAGCGTAATCGGCCCCGGCCTTCTGCCACCTTCCAGGCACGCGCGGTTTTATTTAGGCGAGGAACTGGTTTCTGCTGCGCGGGCGGTAGCAGCGGTTTGGTTTCTTCCACCCTTTTTCTCTGCAGTGGTAACTTATTGCATTGCGTTGGGACACCAGGTCGATGACACAGGCTGCGACGCTCCGGTTCAAGCCAAGGCACCGGCATTTCTTAATTTAGAGATGCCGTCAGCCGGCGTAAGAGACTAGCAGGAGGAGAGCGTGTCTTAGCAGAAGCGAGCTGGCCAGCTGCCTTTCTTAGAGCTGGCTCAGAGGAACGCGCAGGGAAGAGTCAAAACCCCAAACATTTGTGTCCCATTTTCTTCTCTCCCGGTATTTCACAGCGCCGTGCGGAGTTTTGTATGTAAACGTAGAAATACCAGCAAGAACATTTGATTTCACTTTCCTTGCTAAACTCTGCGAACGCTGATGACCTTGGTGACTGTGTACACGTGGAGTTGTTTTTCGGGGAGGGGAGGGAATTTGCTCCACGATGCTGTAAGACTGAAAAAGCGAAGCCGAAAAGCTGGTTCCATCCGTTTCAGTGGGGGGAAGATTTTTGCCAGCAGCCTCTCGCTATTCACTTAAAACAAACAATCGTGTCTAGGTGGAAGCAAAAAGGTGTTTTTCAATCTACCAGAGTTCAGGAAGTACGTCAGCGACAAGCAGGAAAATATGGCACCTTTAAGGGATCAGAAATCAAAAAGGAAAATATAAAAGTAGAAGGAATTTGATAGATATATGGAAGGTAGTCTCAAGAAAGTATGAAGTCCTATGAAACTTAAAAAAGCAAAAATAAACCCTCTCAATATTAAGTCTTACTCCCAGCTTAAAGAATATATACTCAGATAACACTAGTTAACTCAGTTCTTAGTCTTTAGAGCAATGTACTATCAAATTTTGCACCTGCACAACTTTGTATGTTGAAAATAGCGTAATTTATCTTTTTACAAATTATTTCATATATAGAGCTATATCGACACAGAAGAGTTAGATCATTACAGGGATGTAAGGACAATTTTGTTCACAAAAGGTGAAATACTCTTTCAGGCATGTCTAAAGGGAACAACGTGTCATGGGTTGAACTTCATGGCAGGGATGAGTTTATATAAGGCTGAGCCTGCAAAGCCGCAGGATTTGATTCTCCGCTAATAACTTTCACTGAAGCCGCCTACCTGCTCTCAAAATTACCAGCCTGTAATTTTTCAAAATTAATTGAAAACAAGAGGTTACAGGGTAGTTTGGTCGCTGTGAATGTTCATTCCTGTCACTTAGCAAAGGTGAAGGGAGGAAAGGGAAGCACAATACCCACAACAGTTACCTTACATCCTTGTTTGTTTATGCAGTGGGATATTTTTATTATATATATATATATAAAAATTCTACTTAACGTTGCACTACAAGGTGGTTTCCTTCAACTTGTATTTAGAATCACAAATTACAGGGGAGATAAAAACTATGGCGAAAACACCGTTACGGAATGATCAACAGGTATTACTCCCCAGGGGTTATATCTGTAACCAGTAAATCACACTGGAAGTTACTCAATAGGAGCTTAGTGTAGGCAAGTACTATTAGGAGTTAAGCTCTTAAGTGTATGATATCATAGAGGAGATGCTGTTTGTAAGAAAAGTCATGGCATAACTCGTGCAGCTATATTTTTATTTTGTATTAACTACAATGGATTTCCACCATTTTTACCTGTAACTAACTACAAATACGAGAAATAAAAGCATAACAGAAAACACAGCCGCATCGCTCTGTGGGAGAAGCGGCCCGCGAAGTTGGCAAAGATGAAATTTAAAGGTCAAGCATTTATTGCTCCGTTCCATGGCCCCTGTACCATTTTCTTTCTCATCCTTTGTTATTATTTAGCAACACCAGCGCCTGGCTTTCCAGAGGCTTGTCAGACCTCTGTCCCATCTGAGTGCGGCCAGGCGCTTTCCAAAATCCGCTAGCTCCGGGTGCATTTTGTTTTACTGGGCTGCAGCACGCTTCTAATACTTTAAATAGCCCCGAAAGCGTATTTATATCGAAGCGTACATTCTGTTTACGCGCGCGGAGAAGCTCACGTCTCCCGGAGTGCCACGCAGTCTTTAGCAGGCTTAATTTTACTGACAGAGCAAAGAACGCGCGTTTAACCTTTATGTAAGAGCTGTCAGCTTCCCGCAGCCACCGAGCGCTAACCAGGAACCCTGGCATCGTGTTTACGTTTCGCTTTCAGATACGCCTGGTTTATTTGTCCTGCTAAGCTTTAATTCAAACAATACCCCTGGCCACGCTTTGCTGCCGCTTCGAGAGATGCAAGCTCAGGATCCTGCGATGTCCCTCAAGCTGTTTCTCCCCCTCTCCTCCCATTTTTTGAGCACTGAATAAAGACGTGGGTCTGCAAATCTTTTTTTTTTTTTTTTTTCAGGGAGGAGCCAGGCTGCAGGGCTGTATTCTTTCAAGTATCTGAAGTATGTGCCTGGATCTTGTCAGGCTGGCAGGTGTCAGCCATGCGTGTGGGTACTGCATGCTTGTGCTGACAGGTTTGTCTATGTAATTACTTCTTCAAAAACCTGCTTGCTTACCCTTCTTGACACGCTAGCGCGGCTGCAGCGCCTGCCTGTGAGCTCCTTATTGCTTGGAAGACCCTGACCCCTGAGCTGCTGCCCGGGTTCAGAGTCTGACCTTCTTTGCCCAAAGAAAGAGGGTGTGATAAAGTCCTCATGGCATAAATATTTAAACTAGCAGCACTTCAGTGGCTGCTGATGCTTCCGTTTTCAATGCCAGAAAAGCAGCTGACATTTCTGCCCCCTTTTAGGGGAAAGGGCAAAGAGCATCCCGTTGACCCCCACGTGCTAATCCATGAGCCGGCTCCTCTGTGGAAAGGCACAGAGACGAGCTTTCTGGACCATTTCACTGTCAAATAAAGGAGTGTAGTGAAAGCCCTCGTACTGAAACATGTTTGGTGATGAAAAAAAAAAGCCAGAAGAAAGGGAAAAAGAAGAAAAGGATCACAAGGTAAAATGTACCCTCGTGCCCTTTGCACCGATGCAATGAAAACCATTTGTTGCCTTAATGCCAAGAGGGTACGCCATGGATGACTGATACAAATAAAGAGATAAACTCAGAAGAATTAGCAAAGTAACAGCAACTCTTAGAGGGCAAACTATCCACTCAGAGATAAGCACGACCCTAAAAGTCAGTGAAAAGCCTTCAGCTGGCTCAAAAGACCCTGCAGGTGGTGAGGTACTGGCACAGGTTGCCCAAAGAGAATCGTAGAATCGTAGAATCATAGAATGGCCTAAGCTGGAAGGGACCTTAGAGATCATTTTAATCCAGCCTCCCTGTTGCCAGGGACGTCACCTCTCGACTAGATCAGGCAACACAGGCCAGCCGAATGGGAAAGAGATTGTAGATGCTCCATCCCTGGAGGTGTTCAAGGCCAGGCTGGATGGAGCCTTGAGCAACCTGATCTAGTGGGAGATGTCCCTGCCATGGCGGAGGGGTTGGAACTAGATGATCTCTGAGGTCCCTTTCAACCTAAATCATTCCACAATTCTGTGACTCTCTGAGACGTGCTGTGGTTTTGAGCCACGCGTACAGCTCCTGTGCCTGTCCGTAAGAGCTGCCTCCATAGATGCGATCTCTGTATCTCCCCGATCCAATCCGCTTAGATCATCGGCGGAACAAAACGTTTTACTGCCATCAGCACGGCGGGCACAGCAGCGTGGCAGAAAGGAAGGCTATAGCCTGCTTTGCAGTGTGCACCGCGAGCAAAATTCCCAGCAACGTTCCAACCACAAAGTCTCTGCTGTCGGTAATTACACGTAACAGAGCAAGAGTAATTCCAACTCCCAAACGCAAAGTCGAGCACGCAGGTGGGAAGGTTTCACTGTGACCTGCTAAAATGCAGGTGTCAAGAGGAAGGTGTTAGAAAAAGAATCGCCCCTCAAACAGAGCAAACAGGCAGCTGTTTGGCCCCGGTCCTGGTTCAGGCTTTGCCTGGGCAACTAAACAACTGCCGGAGCAGCCCGGAGGGTGCTGACTCAGCACCCAAGTATCCACTGCTCTCTGACTCACACGGCCCTCGCTTTCCCAAAAATAAATGGAAAAAGGCCGATAGCCACTTTCCACCCCTCCAAACTGCCCGTTGCCAGGGTTTTGTTGCATCTGAACCGAGCACGGACGCCAGGCTGAGGCTGACTGCACGCATAAAGAAATGTTAATCAGCACACTCGCAGCTGTCGGTGGTGGCTGATCTCTCCTGCTCCCACTTTTGATCGAAATGCCCTTTTTTTTCCCCCTTCCTCTCACTCCACCAAGTCATTCGCAGGGAGTCTGAAGTGCATACTAATTCAAATAAGGCACTCTCTCTCTAACTGCGTGTTGAGAACTGATAATCAATGTCATCTTTAATTTTTCTTACATGGTTATCCCCTTTAATGGAGTGTGCTGCAGTAACTGAGAATAAATCTGCTTTGGGTTAAGCTAGAGATTGTTATTTATTTTTCTTTCATATCAGAGATTAATACTGCTGTATGACCATTGGCACTAACCTCTTTTTCCATAGCAACACTAAAGAGAACATAAACTATGAGTCATAATTTCTCTCTGGAGGACTTTTTTGTAATTATGATCATTCCACAGTTCCTAAAATATGTCAGCTGATATATAGCTCTGGTAAAGCAGCTTTGATTTTCCTTCTTTTGAACACACAGGCAGAAAGACTTCCATTATTTTCTTTTTTGGGGCCAAGCTAAACACCACAGGAAGTACCATACATCCATTATTCGTTATAAACATGTGGCTCCTCAAAAATCTGCCTTATAAAGCTGGAATAGGTTCCTTCACTTACAATAACCTTAAATGACAAGCAGTTTTCTGAAAGAAAACTCATGTCCTTCCCAACGTGGTTAGTAAATCGGGATCTGATGGCTGGAATTCATCCAAAATGTATTATACTGGGTGGCAGCGAAGTTGCAC